GTAGCAGTAGTAGCAGTAGTCGCAGCAGCAGTAGTCGTAGTAGTAGTAGAAACAGTAAGTCGTACTGGTCGTTGTAGTTGTACCTGGAGTCTCCATTGTAGTTCCTTTTCGGGGGGGTACCTTATAAAATCCTGAATATATACTTGGTTAAACCCAAAAAAGGAACTACAATGGAGACGATAGGTAGTAGGAGTGGAGACAGGAGCGGCAGCAGGAGCAGGCTTTTTCGGGATGCTGGAGGTTCACGAGCTAAACCCTAAACCCTTAACCCTTATAAACCCTAAACCCTGGACCCTAAACCCTAAACCCTAAACCAAAACCCTAAACCCTAAACCCTTAAGTGCAGGTTTAGGCTTTCAGGTTCACCCATGTTTTGTTCTGCTGACGGTCGATAACCAAGGACACTACCTAGCATGAGAATCTATGATGCGATTCACTGGGGCATAGCCCCTGTCCAAAGAGAAGGAGAGGGTCTAAACCCTAAAGATAAAGCCAATCATGTCTTAAATCCAAATCACCAGACCCTAAATCCTAAACCCTACACCCTAAACCCTATGATTGCAAAGCCCTAAACCCTATACCCTAAGTCCTGAACACGAGATCCTAAAGATTGTTCAGCAGATGTCTACACTGCGGCTATAAACCGCATCTGCTCACCCTCTGGAGGCCGAGCCATGCAGTGGAGCATTGGCTGACAGGCCGGGGCCGCTACTGTGGAGTTGGGGTTTAGGGCTTAAGGGCTTTGGGGTTTCAGGATTTAGGGCTTAAGGGCTAGAGGGTTTTAGGCTGTAGGGTTTAGGGTTTAACTGCTTGAGGGCTTTAGGGTTTAGGGCTTGAGGGCTTGAGGGTTTTAGGGTTTAGGGTTGAGGCTTCCATTTTGTAAACATAGACGCAGTGTATGTGTATCTTTTATACATATGCACCCATGCGCGTGTGTTCTGTTATTTTCAGACCATAGGCCCTGACAGAAACCCTAATCCCTAAACCCTACACCCTAAACCCTACAAGCCCTATGCCCTAAACTAGGGCCCCAAAAAAGCACATAAGCAAAACATAGGAGAGGGATATCTCATATAAATCCCCGTACAACGAAGCCCAATAAGGTAGGGATATCCCTATGAAATGCTTATGCTTATGGCCTTTTCTGGTTTCTAATAAACCCTAAACCCTAAACCCTAAACCCTAAACCCTTAACAGAAACATAATGATCCTTTCAAATCGCAGGGACCCCGAGCTCTACTCCGAAGAATTCCCATCCCCTCAGTTCGCAACCCGCGTGCTGCCGCGGACCGGCTGAATTCTCCTTAGCCCCAAGACTCCAAATGGCCCAAAGTAGGTAGCATTTAGGGTTTAGGGTTTAGGGTTTAGGGTTTAGGGTTTATAGACTTTAGACCCAAAGTAGGTACTATTTCTATACTTTCAGTCTTAGGGTAAGGGTCCATGTACCCAAATTGTATATACTTTGGCATAGGGACTACTTTCAGGCCAAAGGACATAGTATTCGGGCACAGGGATCCTAACGGTTCGAAAGCCAGATCTACCTGTAGTCTCCATTGTAGTTCCTTCCATCTCGTCGCCGGACCGTTGCATCTTGTGTTGCTTGGCCATGTGGGTTTTGCTTCGTGCACCCGGCCAAGAATTAGTTTGCTCCAAAGACATGTCATACAAGATGCGAGTCCGACGAATGCATGTCCATGTTTAAGCGCTCTGCTGGCGCAAGGGAAATGCCACCGTCACTGCTACCGCCTACGCCACCGGCATTTCTGTGACAGTCACGACAGCAACTGGACCCTGGTGTACCCGGAGCTTCAAACCCATCCTTTAGACAGTATACACATGGGCGTTTCCGAAAATAAGGGGTA